AGTCTATATTTTGTCAGTTTATTATGTTAGCAGTTCATTTGACCCGAGTTCTAGAAAATTCTTAGATGTATAATTATTCTGATAAAAGGTTTTGACAGTCTGTAGTTTCTCATTAAAAGGGCAAGTTGAAACTAGTACTAGTACAGGAAAGACTTTGCTATTTTTGGATGCCAAGCAGAGGAGACTTAAATGTGTGCACATGCTCTAAAAGATGCTGGGATAAATAATTTCCACCACAGAGATGTTTTCAGATGGTTTGGTACCATAAAGCAAATATCTTTCATGCTTAAACAATCATATTGTGTGTTGCCCTGCAGCAGCTGTCAGAGAGAATTTGTTGGGATCTTTTCTGTTCTCCATCTCTTTATTCATCTGACAGTTTTATTAATTTTTGCTTCCATTCAGCTAATGCTGTAAGGTTGATGTATTCAGTTCTTGCACATGGAAAACACACACTTAAGTGATGTGCAGACGCAGATTAAAGAGAAGCTCTTTGAAACGTGACAAAATTAGCCAGTGAATAATTTAATTTCAAAACTGTGCTTCTCTTTCAGAGTTGTTTATCTGCAGGTCAGCATGAATGAGGGCTTGACCTTCATCACCAGCTCTGTCCACATTACCAGCACAGAATGTGTAAGTAAAAGACGTCAGCCTCAGCTCCAGATCTCTTTCTAATTCTGAGCTGACTCAGCATGTCAATCAGTTCACTGAGCAACCTTTGCATGCCTAAATATACTTAATTACCTATCCCCCAAACGAATGTGTAATACGGTCTTTCCTCAGGAGTGAAAGGCCATCTCCTCTTTCTAGTATTCTTTGTACTTTCACTTTCACTGTCCTCTGAGTTCAGTTCGATACTGAAAGATTTCTTGCTTTCCTGCTCTTTTCGTTTCCTGTACAGACTCCATCTCCTCCTCCTGCTCTTCCTCCTCTCTTGGTTTGCTCAGAGGGTTTCCATTTTCTTGAGTAAGTTTCCTCAGACCCCTCGCTCTGCAGCCATTTTAATCCCCTGGCTGTGGTGGTTTGAAGGTACTTTATATCCAAAGCTGCCAAGCGGCTCTGCCAGTCAGTATCAGGGGATATGTTACTGCATGTGCTTTTCACACAGCAATCTTCTTACTGCTTTTACAAAAATTCACAACTGTGTTTGTTGCTCATCTACGTGCGCTAAGATTCATTCAAGACTGTGGTTTTGTTTTATCCTCTCTGCAGTTTGACGGAACAATTCTTTTGATCACTCTTCTGGTCCTGTTCTTGTTATTGGCACTTTTACTGATGTGGTGGTTCTGGCCTCTGTGTTGCACTGTGGTGAGTTTCATTGCTTTGTCATTTTAGTCTTATCTACGCTGAACCCTAATGGCTTGAAATAGCTAGAAGGGAAGACATCCTTAACAGAAGTTCAGAGACATCATTTACCTTCTCAAAGTAAGGAGGCAAACACGCAGCAGTCGTGTGTAGCTTGTGTTGTTGACTGTGTGGTATTCTGTATGCTCTTAAAGTTTAAATGCCAGGATACGTTTTCATACCTCAGCTTTTGGGTGCAGCACCAGACGATAGAGTTGATCCGAGAAGTTTGATCCTATCATATTTCTCCACAGATCTATTGCAGTAATGCACACTTCGATTTCTGTTGCCACAGCATTCAAAATAAGTGGAATTTGATTGCGTGCTGATATGTCCCAGCTACAGTGAGTTTAACGTCTTACACTGCCTTGTGTTACAGGTGATCAAAGAGCCGCCTCCACCCCCTCCTCCTGAGCCGGTAAGTTAGCCATCCTCCTCTGATCTCACCAGGTCCTGACTACAGCTATACAGCAAGTATAGATACACAAGGCCTACTGTAGCATACCGTCTGTGACGAGTGCAGCACCTCTCCATGCTGAGATTCAATCAGGGCCGCCCGAGGGCAGCTTCAGCCTCAGAAACACACAGCGCCACTTCCCAGATGGCCCACGTCAGTGCTGTCCAGGTTCCAGGGGGGGTGATGTCACCTTCTGTAACAGGCTCGCATGTATGTCCCAGGGGATTGTAACCAATTTAAAAAAATAACCGTTTTTATCAATATACTGTATCAGTTAAGGAAACAGTTCAGGTTTTTTTCCCTTTTAAACCAGCTGAGTTTTGCAAGTGTCATACATACTGTACAGTTATGAATTTTAAATGATGAAATGCATTTAATTTTTTAGAAAAAAGCATGAGTGGAGTAGATAAGCTTTGTGCAGAAAAGCTGGTGGAGAGAAAGAAGCATTAATTGCGCTGGATCTGCCACTGAAGGGATTAACTGTCTGTTAATAGAAGTCAACGCATTTTGAAAAGAGCAGGAAAATATAATGGACTTCTTGTTCATTCCCAGAGGGTAGCTGCTAACAGCTGTAGTGTCTGTTGAATTTCTTTTCCACTGTACGTCTGTGTTTTGAGGATTTGAGCCAAACTCCTTTGACACTAAGGCCCGAGTGCATATATCGGCTTCTCTAGAATTTTTAATTTAAATGACAAACCATGATGTACAGATTTAGAAATTTGTCATGTTGGTTACTGGCCAGATATTTTTAAGTTTGGCTTCATAATTTAGAAGGTCCAATGGATTCTGAAATATCAAGCCTTATCTTTAGACGAATAACCGCAGGCCTGCTTTAAAATGCAGTAGTTATACTCAAATGTTCCTTTCAAAATGTTAGTATGTTTGTTTTTAGAAACATCCCAGGGAAGGAGCACATTGGTGTTAAGTTATTTGTCAGTCACATTGACTTATTCTTGCTTCTTGGGAAGTCATAGATTTGGCATCATTTTAATGGTAAGTCTGAAATAGTTGAAGACAATCCAGATCCTTGCAAACGTGCTGATAATGGAAAGAACTCCAGGGCCCTGAGTCTTGGAGCTGAGGCCTGACGTTCATTTTCTTTGAGTTCTGATGAGAGCTGCTTGGTCTGTGCTCAGGAGTCAGACGATGAGGACGGGATGCCTAAGAAGAAGTGGCCCACTGTTGACGCGTCGTACTATGGAGGGCGAGGTGTCGGGGGAATAAAAAGAATGGAGGCAAGTGGTATTTGGAGTTTATAGAACTGTGCGAGAACAGTAAGGTTCCTTGGTGTGCTCTGTTGTTTGTATGGCAGAGATCACGTTAAAGGAAACACAGTGCTGACCCTGTTGTCTCTTGCCTCTGGCTTGAACTCTAGTGTAAAGCTTATGTCTAATTAGTGCTCAGAACAAGAACCTTTACTACAAGATTAATGATTTCTTTCATCGTAAACAAGCTTATACTGTAAATGGCTTTGAGAGTTTTTTTTTTTCCATCATTGCAGCACACATGGCAGGAATGCCTTTGAAGTAGGTTCCAGAATCTGATGACTGTTTTTAAAGCTCATATCATTTTTATGAGCTGGTCTCAAGCACAGGTTGTAGCTCAAGTTTCAAGCGTGTATGCAAATTTCAGGTTCGCTGGGGAGGGAAAGGGTCTACAGAAGAAGGAGCGAAACTAGAAAAACCCAAAAATGCCGTCATCAAAATGCCAGAGCAAGAGTTTGAACCGTATGAGCCCAGACCCAGGAAACAGGGCAGCAGGAGGCAGCCACAGCAGAGAAAGTGGTACACACCCATCCAGGTAACACACATGTTCTCTCACACACACCCATCCAGGTAACACACACGTTCTCTCACACACACCCATCCAGGTAACACACACGTTCTCTCACACACACCCATCCAGGTAACACACACACTCTCTCACACACACCCATCCAGGTAACACACA